CAACCAAGATAAGGATCTTGGCTCAAGAAAGTTAGCGGGTTTGACCAACATTTAGCTCGTCTCTAAAGTCGAGATTAGGATCTAAGCTTAGGAAAGTTGGCAGGTGTGACCAAATTTTTTTTTTCCTTCTTCAGCCGAGATAAGGATCTGGGCTCAAGAAAGTTGGCAGTTAGACCAACATTTAACTCGTCCCTAAAGCCGAGATAAGGATCTAGGCTCAGGAAACTTGGTAGGTTTAACCAACATTTAGCTTTTCCCTAATGCCGAGATAAGGACCTAGGCTTAGAGAAGTTGACGGGTTTGACCAGCACTTAGTTCGTCCCTTGAGCCTAGATAAGGATCTAGGCTCAAGAATGTTGGCAGGGTTGATCAAACCTGTTTTTCTTTTTAGCCGAGATAAGAATCCAGGCACACATCTCGATTCCAAAGTTGTTTTTCAGCCAGGATAAGTATCTCGGCCGAACAAGGAGGGCATGAAAAGGCATAACCGAGCTAACTAGGCCGACTGGGCATGCAGCAAAACTGATACACTACAAAGCAGAAATGTGACGTAAACTAAACCAAAAGATGCTAAAAAATAAAAGTTTTCTTTCATTCATTTGAAATTAAGTACAAGGGGAGGGGCTTGTATCCCGGTTACATTTTCATAGAGGAAAAACAAAACAAGGAAAAGAAATCAGGCAAAGAGGTCATCCAACTTGGAGTCCAAGTCAACCCGCGCTTTACCGCTAGTTAGGCCGGTTTAGGCAACTACCTCTTGGGTTAGCTCGGTCTCAGGCTCCATGTCAACCGTGCTTGGCACAGATTAGCTAAGCGGATCCACCTGAGCTCGTGGAGAAAGCTAAAGATTGCGGTCGGTGTTGGCAGGAGAGGCGTTGGATGGATCTGGGGTCTCTTCTTCCTCCCCCTCTTGAAAAAACTTTTGTTGGATCGCGTTGGTGTAGTTTGTCATATAACTTGGTATAAAGTGAAGAGGAGGGTTCAGAAAGACCTCGGAATTAGGCCCCTGACCGAGCTTGACAGCCGCAGCCTTCCACCCGCATTTAAAGAAGATATCCTTTGACGCCTCGCATTGTTGGACGTAGAGCTCCTCACCTTCTTAAAGCCACGATCCTCAGCGTCCTCTATATGCTTCTGCAACGCTTTTATTTCGGCGTCTTTCTTCTTCTCCAGCTTCGCCAACTCTCGCATATAGCAATTTTTTTTCTCGGCTAGAGCTTTTTGCTTGTCAGCTTCTGTCGAGTTGACCAATCTGGCCAACCATGCATTCTCTGATTCCAGCTCGGTCAGCTTGGCCTTAGCCTCTTTCAGTTCGGCTGCTTTGGTATCAACATCAGCATCAGCGACAGCCAACCGAGTCATTTTTCACAATTCAAGGACACGTTTGTTAGCCACTTGGCTCTTTTGGAGGGCCTGCATAACATTCAAAGCAGTGACTTAAAACCAAGCATTGGGTCCATAATGGTATCAATTATTGAGTTATAGGGATTTTAGAGTTTACCAATATCATAGACTTGGACGCCGAGCGGATTGCCTTCAGCTCGGTCCAACCCTCGTGCCGCTCCATGTCAGTGGGCAGACAGACGCTCTTTGCTAAGTTGAAGGCTAGAAGGTGATCCTTCTCAATACTCACAGAGCCAAAGGTTGTTACTTTACAACCTCTGAAGGACATAGTTGGTGCCCACATCAGAAGGGATGGAGGATTAGAAGGGCCTGGCCGGTTGGGACCTTGAGGCAGAGTGGCTTCTGGCAGCTCGGTTTCCAGTGGCTCGGTGTCATCCTCGTCTATCAGGAGTTGTGGGATAGAACTGGTATGGGGCCATTTGTTGGGTCACGATAACGTAGCTCGGGTAATGGGGAGGGCCACTACAGCATCGCGTGATTGACCATCCTATGGTACCTCGGTTTGAACCTCGGTAGTGGGAGCTGAGGTTTTCTCGGTGATAAAGGCACGAACAGCTCGTCGCATGGCCATTTCTTGCTCTTCAGTCAGAGGAATGAGGTTAATTTGGGATAGGTTTGGGTCTGGTTCAGGTGATGGTTCGAGAAAAAAGTCAGTAACCCTAGCCTTTCTCCTTTCGCTATACCAATAGATCGGATCGAAGTTTAGTAGCTCAGCCCAATCGCGGTGGCGAAGGGCACCTTGATTGGTGTAAGTATAATGTGATTTAAGCTGGTTTAAATCTGCAAAAAAAAGAAAGACAAGGAACGTAATGGGTTAGCACGGTGGTTATTGAAACAACAAAGAAAATTGAACTGAAGTGTTCTTACCAGTAGTTCCTTTATTCCAGTTTATATTATAACCCGGTATCTGGGTTTCCTGATCTTCAAAATGGCCAGAAATCCAAAAGAAATTGTCATCGTTTAAGTCTTTGTCCGGTGTGTTTTTGATAATTTTTTCTCGGCCTCTTCTTACTCTGAGGTAGGAAACCCAACCATCGTCATTTTGGCCGAGCGAATATTGATGAAATAGCTTCCCAATCCGAGGTTAAGGCCGAGCCAGCGGTTTAGCTCGGCGATGCCATTTATTATTTTGTAAGTGTTTGTGGAGAGTTGGGTTGGACACAACCTTGTTTGCCTAAAGAACTCGCATATAAGGGGCTGTACAGGGAACCAAAGCCTGACTTCTACGATCGATATCATTGTAAATGAGACGAAGCCCAGTTTGCCCCAGGGTGTGGTGTCTAGCTCGGCTAAGGAGATGTGAACGTTATCGGGGATATGGTCGTTTTTTCGGAATTCGGCCATGGCCCCAGGCCAGTTTACCAGGAATCGATATTTACCCATTAAACTTAAAGGTTGTTGTGTAAAAATGAGCACGGCAGCCTAGCTCGGCGCTGATGTGACTTTGGATGGCTCGGTTGAGCAATGGCACCAAAGGGCAAGGTACAAGGGTGTGCCTGGCCAACCTAGTCAAGCCTGCAAAATGGAAATAGAAAAGGGTTATGCCTAACCGGGCTAAATAACAGGTTAAGACTAAAGTCTAAGCTCGGCGGAACGTGGGCATGTACTGGGTTTGTGTTTGGCTAGGGACCAGTTGGAAGAACATAATTATTTTGGTCTGGAGAATTAGGGTATAATTGGTTCGGTTAAGGGCAACATTTTAGCTCGGTTTGTTCGACTTGTGTTCTTTAGTCCGGTCGAAACCGAGCCTAAAAACCACGAACGAGATTTCATTTCGATTGCGGTGTGGTTTTGGATCAAACACACGGTGTAAAGACTTAGTTTTCTTCCAGCTAAATGTGTTTTCAATGTTACACATGAGGTTTCAAGGTTTTTAGCACTAGTGTAGTCCTTAAGTACATATGTGGTGCAGAAAATGCAAAATCTTTGAAAGTAAATGGGAACATGTGTTACAGAAATAGGTACAAAGATGAAGAACATTAGCGATTGGGGAACGAGATCCGAATCCAATATGAAGAAACAACACTAGCAGCTATAATGAACGCAGGAGATGTGAAGGCCTACTTTTGAAATGTAGGAAGATTAGGGGTTGAAGATTTGGAGCTCAGGAGGACAAGGGTTTTGCAAGCTAGAAGATGAACAGTAGGAGTTGGTATTCGAAGAAAGGGTTTTTGTATAGGCATCAAAACGATGGGACTTTTCAAACTCTTTTGATAAATGTGAGACGGCTGTCATAATACGGAGGAGCAATGGATGCATGCCACGTGTCCCAGTAAGGACACGATGTCAAGTATGTGAAACGACGGGTCGTATGACAAGCATGGTTCTGGAGAAATCAGGATACCTAGAAATGGGCGTACCTGTAGATTGGACGGGAGAAGTATTTTATCACGGTTAAGTTACTTTTTGGTTCGGTTGGGTTGAATATCTTAGCACAGCTTGAGAAAATTAATCTCATTCATGCTATGCAGAAAGAATTAAGGGGCAATTGAGAGGATAATTTGTGTATAGATTGGGCAGAGCTAAGTATAATTATTGAAATGAACCGAGCTAGGCCCAATCCCTTAGCTGTTGGGCCGAACTACAGACCGAGGTAATGAAGCTTGGTCCTTTATCCCGACAGTTCGGTCATAGGTAGTCTACTAGTGGCCTAGTCTGGCTGTCTTGGACCAAGGTATCGGAAAAAGAGGACCGAGGTGTATGATAGCTCTACAGGACGTCGTCTAAATAGTAACGACTTACGGTGTTGCCTAAAGTAGCACCGAGTTGTGTGAGCACGGTTGGGTCTGGTGTAGGGCACGAGCTATTACCAAACCAAGGTAAAGGGGTTTAAGCCATCTCACTTGGTTAGTAATGAGTAGGATGTTATCAAGATATGCATTATCCTTGGGAGTGTGATTCCCAGGAGGACTTTACTAGAGAGAGTTGAAGTCTTACTAAGATTGTGTCAGGCGAAATTTATAAAAGCTCGTGACAGAACCTATGCACAGGTATCACAATTTTTACTTTGGAATATACAGAGTTTTTGTGCCTATTGTCTATTTGCTGACTTAGGCATCGGAGAGGTTTCCGACACACACCTGCCAACTAGCTCACATTTGTATTTTCAGGTAGTAAAGCGACGACGTTTGGAGGAATACAAACTTGATCAACAAGATTATACAAGAAGATTATTTTGTACTCGTACACCATTAAATCGATATGTAATAGCACACAATTAATATAATAGAGTATAATCAGTAAGATATTATGTCCTTATTTTCTATTTCCTATTTCCTATTTCCTATTTTGGCTTATAATCTATGTATAAATAAACTTCCTACTTATGATATGATTACAATACAGTAAAGAAATCTTCCTTTCCTTCCCAACTCTCTCGACACCCATAAACAAAAATCGACAATGTTAGGTGGTTCAAAAAATCATGACTTGAATGGTTTGAAACACTCAAAACGACGTCATTTTAGGTATAAAACGACGTCGTTTTAACACATTCAAGTCATTCGAGTTATAAAAATTCGGGTCACCAAACATTTTCCAACAAAAATAACCTAAACGAATTTATAGAAACGACGACGTTTCTTCCTCCTTCTTCTTGTTTCCCATGGTCTCATCGATCTGCGACTCATCGCCAGGAACTAGCGAGAGAGAGAGAGAGAGAGTAGAAGCAGAGAAACAATGGCGTACATAAGCATGGGAGAAGCACACAGGCGAATCACCGACTTCCTCAACCGCTTCTCCGACGCTGTCTCATCCCAAGACGGCTCTTCCCTCAAGCGCCTCCTCTCCCTCTCCTCCGACTCCCCCTTTCTCCTCTCCCTCGCCGACTCTCTCAACGTCTTCCAGGTCCCCCCCCTCTCTCTCTCTCTCTCTACACATACATACATACATACATATCTATCACCTTATATATTCTCAATTAGGGTTCTGATTTCTATATTTGTATACATATATATAAATTTGACAGGATTCTGGTAGATTGATCAAACAGTTTGACAAGTACGCTCAGTATGGTGAAATCATAGTCCCCCTATTTCGCTCTTTGCAAAACTATAGACTCGGTCACTTGGTTGATTCCTACCAGTCCTTCGAAAAATCGGCCAAGTACAAAAATTCTCTCTTTAATTGTTTTTCATGTAGTTTGAGCTTGATTTGACTGATCAATTAGAAATATGAGTGACTTAGTAATGCTGGAATGTGCGATTGTGCAGTGCTTTTATTCAGGAGTTTCGGAATTGGGAATCGGCGTGGGCTTTGGATGCATTGTATGTGATTGCTTATGAAATTCGGGTTCTTGCTGAGAGGGTAATAAACTAACAATCTATCTGTGAATTTGTTCTTCTCCTTTTAGTAGTGTTTGGAAAGTTGTGTTCTTTGGAGATGTAACGGTGTTTTTGTTGTAATTGAAAAGGCTGATAGAGAGTTGGTTTCGATGGGGAAAAACCCGGAGAAGTTGAAGGGAGCTGGCTCGTTCCTCATGAAAGCGTTTGGGGTTCTTGCTGTATGTATCTGTGCTCGTCTCTTCTTTGTTGTTTAATAGTTTTTGATTTATGTGAGTTGTGCTCGATTCATTGTCTCCATCAGAATACTTTGTTTTTCGTTCTCTTAATTCTCTGATAGTTTTGGCAGCAGTTCACTTCTATCATGTTCATTCTTCTGTAATCTCTGTAGGTGCACCCAGTACATGTTGCTACTTGCTACCGTAATCTTGTGTATTGTTGATTTGTTTAGCCTTTTATATTACATTCTTGGTTACACTAATTGGTTGTATTTGGGATTAAAATTTACCAATATATAGGAGGATTAGTTATATTGAAGCTGAACTGCAACTTAAGAGAACGATGGAGTATTGGCAGGGGACACAAATTAGTTTAGTTTTTGTGCAACTAGTATCGTTCTTGCAAACAATTTAAATGCTATTTCACTTTATTATTTTAAATTCACTCACAGAAAGCTCTCAAATCTATTCAGTCATCACATTGAGATCTAAATTTAAGCTAGTATTTTATCTAAATCTAAGCTATGCTCCTTCAATGGCTAGTGCAAAATTTATTAGTTTCAACTTTCGTCAAGTTCTACCGGAGGCAATCCTACACTTAATCCTTTGCATATGTGTCATTGCACTTTTATTTTATTTGTGTCTCCTCCTGGTCTAGTGGCAGCGGCTAAACAAGGGAGAGTAATTTTCCCTCTAACCATAAATCCCTTACCCCATGTACCTTCCTTGCACCCTCCTTTAATGGAGTAGGATGTATCATCAATTCATTACTTCCATGTGACTCAGACCAACTGTTATATGTGGACAATATCTCTGAAGCAGCCACACACTAAGCCCGGGTTTGTACTTCATTTGTACAGGTCATGGTACTTGAGGAATTCTATGGGAGAGATGATGTTATTAAGTTATATAAATTGAATTTTTTCCTTCTCCATTTTTTGGATATATCAGTCTTCATAGTTATAGTGGAATAACATAAAGAATGTTATCTGGCTAAGAATTTAGTTCAATGAATGATTATAATCTGTCAAAACGAAAGCTAAGGTTGAATTCATTTATAAATTAACTGTGGGGGAAGAAGTTTTCTGCCTTGGTTTTCCTAATCGGTCAATACTGGATATGTAAATTGTAGGGAAAGGCCCAATACTGTGTTGGAGCTTTACATGTCACATGCCAGCTGTTCAAGATTTATTTCAAGGTAGTATACTCTCTCTCTCTCTCATTTATTGCTATTTCATTTTTATTCCTGAACTTATAAAATTTTCGTGTGGCGATCTCTATATTACAAAAATAAGAGATATTTGAACTTTTTGTTGTTGTTGTTGTTGTTGTTGTTGCTGCATAAATGATGCTATGTATGACCAATAATTTCATGCCAAATATTGAGATACAAATAATTTGTACAGCTGGTTATGGTAGATCTCTGTGTGTGGTGTGAAACATCTAAGCTCTTTGGTTTTGCAGCTGGGTACAGTTCACCTTTGTCGAAGTGTGATTAGAAGCATTGAAACTGCTCGTATATTTGATTTTGAGGAATTCCCGGTCAGAGATAAAGTAAGAAATTTGATTGCTTTCTTCTAAGAATTGATGCATAGAGTATGATGCTTTTGTATGACATTATTGTAGGAGAATATAACGTTCATTCTATCTTGTCACAGGTCACTTACATGTATTATACTGGCCGTTTGGAGGTTTTTAATGAAAATTTTCCGGCTGTAAGTAATCTGAATTTCTTTTAACTTAATGAAAACATTTGCTTTTGGAGCTTGCAATTTCCATTTTGAGCATATGTTCTTGTGTTAAGTCAGGCTTTTCACAAAGACAACTGTCTCTCCATATTATTTCTTCATTGCTCTTGTATGAAACTTAAGCTAGAATCTTAAAATTCTGGTATGGAGACAATATGATGGTTCTCTGTGGGGTTCAATTAGTTTAAGGATTATAACCTTTTTGGTATCAATTTTTTCGAAAGTAAACACTCTGAAGAACAGTTGCTTTCCAGTTTGAACCTTGCTCTGTAGCTTGTAAATTCAATTTTGTCCATTGACATAGTAGAAGCAAAAACATGAGTGGAGGAAAAGAAAAAAACTTTTTTGATGTTTCTTATATTGGAGAAGCATCTTCAACTCTAATTTTTTTCCCCTATATTTCTCTATGGATTTAAAATCTCAAATTTAACTGAGACTGAGTGACCGCATTTCTATTTCTTGCAGGCTGATCATAAGTTATCATATGCCTTGACACATTGCAATCCTCACAGTGAAGCAAATATAAGGTTTGGTTCAGGTGTGCTTGCTATTTATATTTTTCATTTGTATTCTGATGAAACTGTTGGGTATCATTATTGAAACTTTCAATGTAAGTAAGAGCTGCATAATTATTTATCAGACTGTCCTGTCAACCTTACTCAGTTTGCTGAACACTGCTTGGTGAATGCCCATTCAGTTCATAAATCTTTCATTTATTTATTTTTTTGATAAAAAGGGATTCAGTATATAAACCTTTAGCTATGACGTTTCAAAATTTTAAATTCATTAAACTATTAGCAGTTAAAACAAGCATATGATTAGGTAGAATGTGCACATGTGCTATAGATTTTGAATTATTAAGATAACTATGTTCAAGTTACTGAATTCTGTCCCCTTTTAATTATTTACAAGATACAAAACTCATAACAACTCTACAATGTAGTACTTTCATGAACAAAATGGTTTCAAAGGGATTAGAAAAAGATACAAAAAAGAAAGAAAAAGATTAGGTTGCCGATAAATTACTAGCTTCAACTATAAAAATTGAAGAATTACTAAATTAGAGCACACACAAGAAATTGGTACTATTCATTTTTCTTTGAGAGCTCTGTTGATAGTGACAAAATGTTCCATAATGCCCCTCTTCAAGATCTAGGATGATTAGGAAGGATTACTGCTCATTTTCAGACCCCTTGCATATATACAAGAAAATGTTGGTTTGCATTTTGGTTTTATTGCTCCAATGTCATATGGCAACCCTTCCTTGAGTGATCTAAAAGTAAGTATTAGTAATTTTTTTTTTGTTTTTCTCTAGTTATCATTGCATATGATTCATTTTCTCTTTGGTCTTGTTGCGATAGGATGATCCTAAAATATCTGATACCAGTGAAGCTTTCAATAGGCATCCTACCTAAGTTTTCACTCCTGCAGAAGTATAACCTGCTTGAGGTATAGGCACTCTTCTGATTCTTCTTTCTTTTTATCACATTTTTTATTTTAGAATCCTTTATTGGCCCTTTCATGTGTTTAGGAGGAATTAACATATATTCTTATGTTGTTAAACATGTTTAAACTTGTTAGTTGTATCTTTATAGAGCCGTGTTTGTTTTCAAGTAAACTACCATATGAATATAATTGGCTTTTGCACAGAGAAGGAAAAAGGAAAAGAAAATCATATGAGCAACCACAACAACTATCCTTTACCAAAGTTGAAACTGGCATGTGCAAGATAGCATGCTGAACTAGACACTAAAGGCAGGGCAAGCTGTCACTTTTATTGCTCAAAGGCTTTTATGTCTGCCTTGGCAGAGATCAGTTATTTGACAATGACTGTCATGCAAAAACAACACTTTTAAGCTCTACTTGACTAATCCTCAGTAACATTAGTCATGTGATAAGAAAAAAATATTTTAGCTACAATTTGGTATGACTGGTTACATAATCTCATAATGCAACTTCCTTCATACATATTGATATTTGTACGAGGTTGTCATGCACAACTTCTTCATATTTTGCTAATTACTAATTCTAATGAGTTGTATTCTCTGTTCTTCGAAATTATGTAAATTGGCTGTAAGAAAAGTACATTGCAACAATAATGACAACAACAATCCATATTGTTTGCATGGTAATCAGAGGTCCCAAAGTTTTAAATTTCTGGTAATGTGTTATTTTACAGTATAGTAATGTTGTGCAAGCTCTGAAAAGGGGTGACCTCCGTCTACTTAGACAAGCTCTCCAAGAGCATGAAGACCGGTATGTCTACCTCTCACTTTTGTAAAAAACAGGGCACATTGATTTGATTGAAAATCTGACGGACTCATTGTATTATCAGGTTCTTAAGATCAGGTGTCTATCTTGTCCTAGAAAAGCTAGAGCTCCAAGTTTATCAAAGATTGATAAAGAAGATGTAAGTTTCCCTATAAACACTAAATATTACACTGGTTTCGGAGTTTTACAGAATAATTATTCATGAATGTTGCTTAATGGTTATGCAGCTATATCATCCAGAAGCTTAAGGATCCTAGTAAAGCACACCAGATCAAGTTAGAAGTTATCGTCAAGGCATTGAAGTGGCTTGAGATGGACATGGATGTCGATGAGGTATGTATTCTCTCTACATGCCCCTCATGTATTTACTTCAGAAAAAGTTGGTGGAATAGGAACTCTTCAAGCTGTTTCAACTGGCTGGTCAAAGTGGCTAATTTATCAGATTTTTCTTCTTATTTTATTTTACTTTTTGTTTTTGTTTTCAGGTTGAGTGTATTATGTCCATACTAATATACAAGAATCTTGTGAAAGGGTACTTTGCACACAAGAGCAAAGTGGTGGTTTTGAGCAAGCAAGACCCTTTTCCCAAATTAAATGGCAAACCGGTGAATTCCTAGAGATAGTTGGAGGGTCGATGAAACTATATGCTAGTCTTGACAGCAATAGGCAGGTTAATTGCATGACAGGGCAAGTTTAGTCGTGTTCCTTTGGTTGCCTGGGTTTCGGATCTGATTAATTTAGAAGTGTCAAATGCAATGAAATCACACTTCTGCTATTGTGACTCCTGTATGTTGCAACGAATGTGAACAGTGTTCTTGGGTAAATTATACTGACACCCCCTGAAGTTTCTTTTAGTATAGATTCTTTACTCGCGTTTAAAAAATTACATTTCCCTTTCTAAGGTTTGTAGTCTTATTACAAATTGCTTCCTTTATTGATGATGTCATGCCCAAAAACATTTTAAATGACAATTTTGCACTTTTTCTTACCATTTTTTCCCCTATGATTATGACTATATTTTAAAATTTTTTATTATTAAATTCTACCTGAATATATTCTTATTTGGTAATGATATACAAATATAAGTTTTATATAAAATTTTTAAACACAATAATATTTTTTAATGGTGACCTTTCACTTTAAAATAAAATACACATAAATATTGTTTATATTTATAACATCTTTATCACAATATTTTTATGATATTTGCTGTATAAATTTTTATATATGAATATAATTTTTTATTTTTATTTTCACTATTATTTTTTTTTCTCGTCTATTCATTCATATTTATTATCCATATGTATTACAGTATTACTAAATATCGTCATTCACATTTATTACAGTATTACTTAAAAAAATATACTATAAAACATTATAGTTCTTAAATATATCTAGATTGAGTGTATCTAAAAAATAAAAAAAAATTACTTCAAATATTAAAAAAAGTTAAGTAAAAATAAAAAAACACGAAAAATAAAGAAATCTAATTTTGTGTAAGTTAAATCAAAGAAAATAATTGTTATTTATTTTAAAACATGTACAAAATATTAGTATTATTTTATTATTTTATAGGTAGAAAGGTTAAGGGACAAATATGTCATTTTAATTTGAAAGGGATAAATATAAATTTTCAAATGTGTAGAATAATTTGTATTAAATAGAAACCTCATGAAATCTCTGTGTATTTTATCCCAGTTTTCTTTTACATGTATTCAAATTATTTTATTTTTCTTTGTGGTTGCTAAATTAAAGGGATTTTGGTCACTGATATTTGAATGGGCTTGTGTCCTTGATAGCAAATGCATGGTTTAGTTCAACGTATGTTTGCTATTTGATTTGGTTATTCTCTATTCTGTTTTTCTTGAAAAAAAAAAAAAGAAAAAAAAAAGAAAGAGAAAAAAGAAAAAGAGTGTTGGAGAAAAGCCATGTGCCCTGTCCTTGAATCCCCAGATCAGTATCTATGGTGCTTTTTTGTTTTTGCTGTTGTGGAAACTAGGATAAAAGGAATCAAAAAGCAATGTATCCATAACAAGATCATGAAAACAAAAGGGGATATTTGACCAAAAGTCCCTCATTAGTTCCTTCAGAGGGAAAATGACAAGTCTAAATTTTTTTAATTCATAAGCTTTTTGGAGAAAAAAAAATGTCTATTTCATTAAGGACACATAAATTTGTTTTATTTTTTTAATAGACAATCTTACCCTTAGTAATTACTTTCATATTTCAAATTCTAAAATGATATAACTTTTTATCTATATATTATTTTTTTTTATAAAATTAGTAGTTTTAGATTCTTCTCATCAAGATCTTAAACAAGATCTATGTTGGCTATGAAATTCTTTAAAACAAAATCATAATTTTTTTTTTTGGTTGAAATTAAAGTCAACAGTAAATTTTACACCGATTCACAAAAATTTGAATAAGAGTAAAGTTTTATTGTTTTCATCAACTACATATATATATATATATATATATATATTTAAAGAATTTCATAGTCAACTTAAATATTGTTCGATAAATCTTGATGAGATGATTCTAAAAATATTAATTTTATTAAAAATCGACATATAGATCAAATGTTATATCATTTTAAAGTTTAAAATATTAAATTAGTTACTAAAGATATTTTAGTAATATTTGTGTGCTGAATTTTTCAAAGAAATTTTTTTGTGTTTGTTCTTAATGCATTAAAATTTTATTATGAGAGTTTTGACTAAATCCCCCAATTACCTTTGAGTATAAACGTTGTAACAAAATAAATATTGAGTTTTTAATTTTGTCAATTTAAATCTTAATTTTTTGATTTATTTTCAATCTAAATCATCGGTCTATTTTTGTTAAACAAGACCAACCTTATTTTAGTTATTAAAGTCAACAAAAAATATATATATTTTAGAGATCTTATGTACATTTATGTTGAGTTTAATGACTGAAATATTTAATTTTTTTGGTTGATTTTACTTAACAAAAAAATGTTAATAATTCAAATTAAAATAAATCAAAATATCCGAATTTAAATTGACAAAATAAAAAACTCAATTTATTTTGTTATAAGAGTTGAGTTAAACTCTTAGAATTTTCTTATGTAATTTCACGTTAATTTTTTTATATTGCATATAACCAAATTCAGACATAACCAAGTTGAGCCGAGTGAAGTAGTAGAATTGTTTAAGATTAACTTGAAAATTTGACCAGTTTTAAAATATATTTAAATCTAATTTAATTACATAACAAACTAATTTTAGATGAATTTTTAACAAATCAAATATGAGTTAAGCTCAAATAACTTGTTCATGTTTACAACCTTAAAAATAGAGCAATCTTATTGCAAGGCCCACCCAATCATATGAGATATGTCATGCATAACAATACATATAATAACTTATACATGTAACATCTAGTTTTTTTCTTGGATGGCTTTCTGCTTGCATGTAAGGTGCCATACTAAAATTGCCTTAATTTGAAGAAATTTGAATTACTCAGAGCAATCCACAGGTAGAAATCATGATCATGGTTAAGTTGAAGCAAGGACAAGCTCACAAAACTCCAGCTTGTAGACTCTTGTCTGAAATGGCTAAGTAGTATACCTAGTCAAACAACAACCAAAAAAGAGAAAAAAAAATGGGGTTTCTCACAACTAACAGCAACTATTAACTATATAAGTTGCTAAAATTGCATCCTTTCACTACAATTCCCTATACCATATTCTTAACACTCAACCAAAAAGACAAATAACACGAAACAAAATTGCCACAACTTGCATCTGGGTAAAATCTCTCTAATGCAGTAGGAACTGCCACTCCAAAATTAGAATCATTTTAAAATGCTCGCATGCACCAATCAGTTGATGCCATCATTCTGTGCCACAACTTGCAAATTTTTTCAAAGCAGCAGTAACTGTTCTGACCCTACGTCACTTTTTAAAAATCCGAAGAGCATCTTGTCCAGAGCAGGAAGCTAGTGCCGAGAGTTTTTTGACATTCATGCATCATTTGCAGCAGGAAGGGCACTCTCAATGTTCGAAGGCATCAGAATGTTAAAACCATCCGCAGCAGTAGATATGATCATTCCCGGGATTTGTGATTGCCAATGGAGTTCTTTCAAGTCTTTCTGACCCTGTTTAAGAGTTGCAAATGTCAGTCTAACACGACACCATGTAAATAATTACTAACAAACAACATTCTGACTAGGAGGAAGTTTGAAAGTATATAACCTGATGAACAAAGAGAAGTTGTGGCGGTATATCTGAAGGAACATTCACTTCTTCTCTTGTTTTAGCTTTGAATTCAGCCTCCTCTTCCTCGTCTCTTTCTAAAGAAAGGTCCCATATTCTGCAAATATAGTAAACAAAATTTTTGAATACACTCACAAGTGCATACACAGACTATGTTACATGGGCAAGGGTATGGGTGTCGGATGCAGGTGCATATTTAGAGGTTAGACCATTCAAAACTCAAATTTAAGATATGCAGACTTGGCAAAAAAGTATAAGTTCATATTTTAAATCTATTATGTGAGATAAAATGGTGTTATATGTAACATACAGTGTCAAAAAGACATTTTACCAATTTTAATGCAATTATACAACAATATATATAATCCATATAATAATAATGTTAATTGTTAAATACAAATATGTAAGAAGTGTCCGATAGAAAGCATTAGACACATCTCACAGCTTTGTCCAAGTGTCAAGTGCCCAACATGGTATTTGATTTATTTTCAAGAGTCCATGTAACATAAGCGCGCACCAACACATAAAGCTATCTAAAAGTTCTATTTGAGTCATCATTCATTTCCACTTTCAGCTAACTTATTGATTATCCAATTCAGAATTTCTTACGTTAGTTGATTGTCAGATGAAGCAACTGCCAAAGTGGAGGCTTCATGTGGACTCCATTCAATCGATGTTATCGGTTGTTTATGGTATTCAAAATGAGCTACAACCGAATCTCCATCCTGCCCCAAGAAAGAAAGGAGAAAAATCAATATGATGAATATTCACATCGTAAATCAGTAGAATAAGAATACTGATTTCAAATGAATAAATAGCAGCAATCACGTACTAAAGAGAGATGTTTCTATCCCTTATTTATTTATTTATTTTTTTGACAAATTCTATCCCTATTTAAGATGATTGAAACAATTTTACACCAGACACCATATGGAGTTGAGAGAGAACAGTCAACATTATAATTATATTCTAAAGATACTCGATTTTAACATATTTCCTAAACATTACAGTCAAAGACTCTAGGGATTGAAAATGAGTAATCCGAGAGGTAAAAAATACTACTTAATATAGGGGATAGCAGAATGCAAAACCATAAGTCCATATTACATGTTAAAGATGGATAACGCTCTGTGGTGTGAGGTCTTTAGTTCAACTCCTATAGAGACAACTAACTTTCGTTGATCAAAAAAAAAAAAAAAAACATGGTATAGATAAATGAGGTTTTGAAGACATAGATGTGCATGGAAAACCATCATTCAGACTAAGAAACAATTAGTCTAACAATGATTTTCCCTTCAACAAACATACCATACCTTCAGTAATCTCAGATCACGAATAGAGAATGTTCCATCATCACATCCAGATGACAGCATACAACTAGCCAGCCTAAACAAAACCAATGAAGTACAAAGAGAGGTCATCAGATACATATATCAGACATAGGTGCCTACTGCTAAGAAGCATGGACACGGACACGTGGCACGACACGAGTATGACACGGACACGCCGACACGTTAATTTTCAAAAAATGCAGGACACAACACGAGGAGGACACGCATGAAATACATAATTTTATATATTTATTATATGTTATATATATATATGAATATATCATTCAAAGATAATAAAAAATGCAATATGACACTAATTCTTATAAATTTATATGGTTTTTATTTTATTATTGTATCTTAAGTTATTTTGTTCAAACTTATAATTAGTTTTACGTATGTCTAATCGTTAGACACGTGTGTTTAAACGATTGACACGTGTGTCCTTCAAGAGTTCAAAGAGTGTCCAAGTCTTTAAACAATAGGACACGTTTTGAAGAGTGTCAGACACGTGTCCTGAGAATGTCCAAAGAGTGTCGGTGTCCGACACGTATCCGACACGGATACGTCACCTTCCTAGAAGTATCCATGCTTCTTAGGCCTACTGAAAGAAAAGACATTTAAATACCTGTTCCATGAGATAACATTCACATCTGCATTATGTGCCTTTATGGATGCTGCTGGTGACTTCCCTAGACGAATATCCCATATTGCAATATTCCCATCCACAGAGCAAGAGGCAAATACATAAGGTTCTGTGGGACTCCACTGCATGGATAAAAGTTGGAAGAGCCATTCTTAATAAAAGGTAAACAATACAAGTTACTTCAAATCATTTGTGTTACCATAGAAGTTACTTCAATTCATTACATCTAAATCCAAAAAGCAAAAAAGAAGAAACATACTTGTAGATCTTCAACACTTCCAGTATGTCCGACAAAGGGATTAGCATCAACATTCCATGTCGTACCAGAAGTAGGTTCCCACAAATGAATGCAATTCTTGCAGTCCCCTTTGAAGATGAAGGGTGATAGCAAAATATCAGAAATCAATCTCCATATATACTAACCGATTACTAGATATCCTTGGAAAAGAAATAAAACGAAACACAACAAAATGAAAACAATTAAACAATACCAGTTACAAGCCTCCCCGAGACAAGAGGACTCCAGTCTATAGCATAGCCTTCATCTTTGTGTCCACCAAACTTAAATAATGGAGTCTCATTGGAGGGTCCCCGGCTAGCATCAGTTTCTGATTCTGCCAGAGCATTTAGATGAGAGCTGAAGTCCCATACCTACATAGGAGTTACTGGTGTTGAATCAGGAATCATGTAAGCCTATAGAATTAAAATATCATTTGAATTGATTGGCTCCTTTACAGACAAACAACATGTATGTGTTTTTAGTTGCAATTAAGACACCAACAACCATGATGCAATTCATTTCAAAGTTGCTTGCTCAGGCAACAACATGGTTCCAGCTAAAATTTATGCTGATGGACATCTGTGGATGTTGAAGCTCCATTCTATGGCTTACTAAATTACTGAGAGCATCTCTTTGAACAAAATGGATATGAAAACTCATGAGATTGGATTATGACAAAAGCCACATGAGACTTTGAGGACACAACACACTATTAAATGCAGGCCATATTCAAATAGCTGCAGCGTGCAAGGCCATTCCAAAAATATACCTAGGAGATAGTCAAGCAGCCCAACAAGATGAACAAAAGAATAATCATATGTATTATCTAGTTCAGCTCTCATGATCACTATTATCATAATAATCTGAGAAGATAAGCTAGCCATTGACTCAAATATAATATTATTGTTTTTTTGATAAATACTCAAATATAATATTATTAATCTGTTATGCCTTGTGAATTTTATTATAACAGTATTGAATTTTCAAGCATTCTCAATTCCTATAGCAAGCATTAGTTTTAAGGCATGGAAAAAACCAGTCCGGATTCTCATGTGTAAATCTAACCTGCACATGACCAGTATCAGCCCAAGATGCACATATATGTGGGGTTTGGGGCATGGCCCTTATTCGATTAACACATCCTTCATGAGCTACCTTGCGCAGCTGTAAAAGAATAAGAATAAATGGATTTAGAAAGTAGATTAAGGTAGAGAAAAGTTTAAAATGATAAAGGTGTGTCAAAAGAAAAAAGATAATAATAATAATATCACATTCAAGAACATAGGAAAAAAAGCATTGCCTGCAAAACTGGTGCCCCAGATCCACCATCCTCGTCTTTATCTTCTTCATCACTATCGCTACTGTCACTGTCCATATCAGAGTCATTACCAGTAGATTTTGAAGGGACTAATTCACGTCTTTTCCCAGTAATATTGGATATTTTAAATATTCCAATATAGTTCCAGGAAGCTTTTTCTGCCTGTCAAACAAAAATTAAATATCAAAATCCAATGGTTCTATTATTCAGTAATAGATATACATACCTGGACAAGTCTTAGAAAGGGTAGCAACAAGCGCGCACAAAAATACTAAGTACACTTAATTTCAGAGCAGAAAATTTTAATAGCAATAACACGTGCCACTACCATAATAGTATAAATATAAATAACACTTCAAAAACATATCATAGGGGAACTGAGAGAACATTAAGAAGCTAAGGTTGTGTTTGGTTGTGTTTTCAAACCATGATTCTACACTTTCATTCAAGTATGATGTTTGGTTAGAGTTCTGAAATCACATTTCCAAAACTCTGCACAAAGCACTCTGTCTCAGGCGCGGTTTTCGGAATTTTTTTTTTCAAATTTCGCCTAACCGGTCGTCCCACCAGTTAACCGAAACAGTGCAAAATTATTTTTATTTTTTATTTTTTTTTACAATTTATATATGTTAATTTTTATATATTCAAAAAAAAATATTTTTCGAATTTTTAAATTTTTTTATGTATTTTAATAGAATTTTGAGTTGTATGTTTGGTTATGAATTGTAAGTTTTTGTATCAAATATCATATGTTACATAAAAAATTCTCCACTCAATTCAAAACTCTTCGCCAAACAAATTTTCCACACTCAAATCATAATTCTAAAACTCACAAACTCAAAATACAACTCACACTCTCAAATCATATTTACAAAACTCTACCAAACACAACCTAAAATTTTGCATCTTTAGCTCCAATTGAGTGGGAAGCTGTATCAGCAGATAGCTGCCTACGGGCAGTCGCAACTTGCAATGCATGGGGCTTCTGCCACTACAAGATTTGGGGAAGATAGATAGCTGCCACTAGTGGGACAAATTTTTATTAAAACAGAATGCCTGAACCAAAGTTATGTTGGTCATAGCAATTACTCCAACAAAGCATACAAATTCAAACGGGAGTTTCCATTCCACTTAAACATTAGGAAAAGGCATTCAGAAAATATGTAATACATGAGAAAAAATATAAAATAATAAAACGATTTATTCTATCTGAGAGATTGTGCCTGTTTGGTTGTGTTTTCTTTTTTTCTTTTTTTTTGGAACAACAATAAGTTTGAAAACAGCCATCATTTTCATTTTTGTGGATCTCACATAATTCAGAAAATTGCAACTTCGAAATGAAGTGCATTCACACTAATTTACAAAAAAACAAAAAACAAAAAAAACCCGATAAAACTCCTCAGACTAATTAAACAAAATTTCTAATAAACCACTCGAAACACCACATACAAATCCTTTAAAAACTTCACATAACAACTAAAATAGTATTGATGCACACCTGAGTGCCTGCAACACAATAAACAGTGTGTGGAAACTCGGTCCGAACCAACCCCAAAGTGTCACGCACCACATCGAAGCTGTCACAGTTTACCAATATTCACTTAAATTAGCAAATTAAAATTGCCAAACATATTATATCTCACAATATCACCACCACACACACTGTGCATATATATATATGGAAAAAAATAGTTTGCCCCCTCAAAATATCACACTTTTGTCACTTTGCCTAAACTATGAACATTAGTTTATTTTACCCCTAACTGTTAACAAGAATACGCTCACACGTGACTAATTGAGAGTATTGATTCACTTTTCCTTGCACAAATATCCAATTATCATGCAACAAAACACAATCAATTGTTTTCAAAATATACAGTAACACAAAATACAACCAATTGCAGCACACTAACTGCTATCGATACAACCAAATTAAGCAAATCATGCGCCAACAGTTGTGAGAACTCTTTTTCAGTGTAAAGTGAATTAATGCAAGTAATTTAAGGGGTAACTGTTCAATTTGATAATTGAGGGGGCAAAATAAAAAATTTCCAAATATATATATGTATGTATGTATTTGTGTAAGACCTTAAACAGGGCCAGCCGATGTTGAATCCATGGAGTGAATTGTAAGCAGAAGGGTCACACTGGAGCTCCTCTCCCTCTTCAAGCTTATCGACGCCTGGTTGCCACACTTTCGCTGGCAAAGAAGGAATCGAATTCGATGAAGAAGAGCCATCTTCCTTCTTCGAGCCCTACAATCCAAGTACACAAAACCCTAAATTAACTAACTTTAACTAACAGGTTAACTGTGAAAGCACGAAAAAATTGAGAGAAACAGGAAAAAATATAGAAGAAAGAACCTTGCTTTTTCGTTTGGCCTTCTTAGGGTTTTTGATGCTTCGAACCATTTTGTGGGTTTGTGTTTGGAGGAAAAGAAAATGAAAACGAGAAAGTGAAAGTGAAGGTGAAGGTGAAACAGGGGAGGGTTTTGGAGGAGTTAGGGTTTTATAGGGCCAATATATGTTGCCGGGTCGAGAGGTAGGGCTCAGGTTTGGAAAATTGAGTTGGTTTGGAGGTGTTTTAGCCCAAAGTGAGCTCAGCTCAGTTGGGTGAACTTTTTCTTTTTTTTGGTAAGTAAGTCATAAAATAAAAATAAAAACTAACACAAGAATATAAGGGACATGTCCTAGGCCCTACCCACAACTATACAAAGGAAAAAAAAAAAAAAACGGACAACAACCATGCATATCCAAACAAGAAAATGAAACAGACATGTAAACAAAAAATCAAAAACAAATGTCCAACATGAACCGGACAACAAACAACAGCCCAACAACTAAACAGGCAGAGAGACTAATAATCAACGAGAAAATGTTCATGGGCCCTATTGAAAATGTGGACCATGAACATCCATTACAGCAAAACTGGTAAAACAAGACATAATCTTTGCACACCCCACAAAGGTAGGTATAAAAACAAGAAATATTACACAATTTTACAAACAAAATACACATAAATAAAAATTTCTTCACTCCATCGACGCTACAAGCAGCCATTCACACTATGACAATAGCAACCGAAACTGTGTGATTGTAAGACTCCAAAACCAAACAAGAAACTGCTGTACACGGCTTCCCAATCGCAGATGAGCCAATTGCAGATGAGCATAGCCTGTACATTATGTGGCTAACCATAGTAACATCCAGCACATTGCTACAACACATATTATATGAGCTCACAACACTCAACCCACTTTTTAGAACCTCACAACATTCGAAAACACTAAACTGCTACTGCTCCAGGTACCTGCATATAAAAGAGATAACAATATACAAATATATGTTAGAACTCCTAAATATGGCTAGTGAAGTATAGGTGTGGTAATATATTGCCCTCACAAGACTCTCAACCCACAGGTATAGGATCTTCACATTGAACACTGTATGATCTTTTTCCATGAATCTGCAAAATGAGCAAATTAATGAGAGAAAACACTCAATATACGCTACCATCACTCAACCCACATTTACGGAACTCCCAACTCTCATTCCAGGGGCTGCAGTTGTCATGATAGTATGGGGAAGCCTCCATGAGCTCAAGAACCAGTTGTCACTAGAATGCTTTGTCAGATTAGTAATAGACATCATTCGAAATCTAACCTATCCATGATGCATTTTATAACAATCTCTTCCGGAGTCAAATCCTTACTAAATATTCTATTGTTTCTAACAAGCCACAAATGGTACACAGTGCAAGTAAAAGCAAGCCTAGAAATAGTTGCTCTAAGAGTTTTACCACTAGCAGATCTTAACACATGATCTATAATCCCAGGCCAAGGATTATTAGGCCAATCCACATTGAGCCTACCTTTAATACACTCCCAAACTCTACAAGAGAAAGGGCACTCAAAAAACAAATGAGTATGGTTCTCAATAGGATCATGACAGAAAACACAGTCAGTGAGATTGTGAGAACTCGAATATAAAAATTAAGTAAATAATTAAATAATAATAATATTATAATCTCAAATATTTTGGTGGTGAATTCTAATGTGCAAATTAAATATTTAAAGGTCTTTTAAAAATTAAAATAAATTTATGGTGAAAATATTTAATTAGAGGCAAGAATTATTATAAAAAATATATATATAGAGAGAGGAGGGTGTGACTTGAACTCTAGACCACAAGATTAAAATATAAGACTCTTACCATTTGAGTTGCATATAACTTATATATATGTTTTGTATATTTATCTATTTATTTGACCTATGTGTGCCCACCACTAGTATAAAATAAAATAAACACAAACCCTACTCTATTATTTGTTCACCACATAGGGCAACAACACAGCAGCCACGGGAGAGGGTTTGAGAGAAGGAATAAAAAGAAGAAGATGTTGCAATCAAAGAACTTTTGGGTGTGTTGTGCTGTGTGTGATCATCAAAGGTTAGCCCTCCTAGGTTTTCTTCTCTTCTTTCTTTGTTCTTCATCCTTATTCTATAATTATTTTATTCATTCATGGAGAGGTTGTAGGTTTATGTATTTTGTATATATATGTATACACTGTTAAGAAATCTGAGGAGCTAAATTTATGTGTAAAGAATGGGTGTAATTCTTAGTTCAAAAATTCTGCACAGAATTGCAAACTTTAAAAATCAAGAAACCATATCAAACGGATGAATTTTAATTTGAAATTTTTACAGTAGATCAATTACATATTGAATTGCATATCTGAATTTTTTCATAATTTTTGGGAGTCAAAATCCATATAAATTGAGGTATTCAAATCTGTCCAGGAAACCAGTCCGAAACAGTAAATTCGGGAGTGTTGTTCTCTTTGGGTATAAATCCAAAAATTATCAAATTAGTATCATTAGAACCGGTTACGAGTCTAGTTTCGTACGTTTTTGGCCTTGCATTGATTGCTCGTGTATATTAAGAGAACCGTCTATTTCTTTAAAGTGCTGTAGAAAACAACCAGTTTGGATTAATAAATTGTAGATAATTGTTTTGATAAGAAAATCAAGTGAAACCAATTGGGTTTGAAACTTAGGATATATTAGTTGATATCTGGAGGTTTTTGGAATTTTTCGAATAGCGTGGAGTGGGTTTTGTAATTTACAAAGTTAGCGAATAGGTTGGGAAGGCTTGTTTGAAATTCTGTTTTATCTTAAAGTCACAGTTAATTAAGTTTTGACCGGAACCCATGTCTTGGGTGATTTTAAACCTTGAAGAACATGAACTTAGGTAATATTTAAGAGTAATGGTGAGTTGGGTTGAGCCGTGTTAGTGCGCTTTAGTTGAAGTTACTTAGTTCCTTATTTTTTTTGTATTTTTAAATTAGTTGTGACGTGTAGTTTTTATACTTGGTTCAGGGCACTAGTTTGACTTTTACACTCTATTCGAGGATTATATTATTTCATTTTCAGGTGAGTAGTTTCATGCTAAGTATTTTTATAAATGTTCCCCTACCCTGAACTGTTGGAAAATTAAATTGTTGTTTCATGATTAAACTGTTTTGAGAAATTATTATATTATCAATTGAATCAAATTATTTCTGAAACATGTGTGAACTTGGCATACTGTAAACTATTTGTTTTGGTCTCATGTTTATAATGATGAACTACTATGTTTTGCGAAACTGATGTGTATTGATTATTGGGACCATGTGTGTATTTAGTCTAGGGAAATTATTCCACTGTGTGTGGTGACTCTGGCCACTAGGGAACAGATCCAAGTTGGGCCGTGATGACTCTAGTGCTCAACGATTGTAAGGAAAAGACCTTTAAAAACAACTAGGTGACCTTCAAATCGGATCGTCTTTGAGAAAAGGCCCAGGTGCCACCCTGAGGATGACTCTTAGTTCGGTATTGGATCCAACGGGGCTTATAGCCTTGAGAACTGTGTGGCAGATTATTTGTTTTTATTGGTACCCAGAAAATTATTGGTGTTCATGTTATAATCACTTTTTTTTTTTTTTTTTTTTTTGGTAAGTTAGTCATAAAATAAAAATAAAAACTAACACAAGAATACAAGGGACATGTCATAGGCCTTACCCAGAACTATACAAAGAAAAAAAAGAAAAAAAACAACGGACAACAACCATGCATATCCAAACAAGAAAAGGAAACAGACCTGTAAACAAAAAATCAAAAACAAATGTCCAACATGAACCGGACAACAAACAACAGCCCAACAACTAAATAGGCAGAGAGACTAATAATCAACGAGAAAATGTTCATGGGCCCTATTGAAAATGTGGACCATGAACATCCATCACAGCAAAACTGGTAAAACAAGACATAATCTTTGCACACCCCGCAAAGGTAGGTATAAAAACAAGAAAGATTACACAATTTTACAAACAAAATACACATAAATAAAAATTTCTTCACTCCATTAGCGCTACAAGCAGCCATCCACACTATGACAATAGCAACCGAAACTGTGCGATTGTAAGACTCCAGAACCAAACAAGAAACTGCTGTACACGGCTTCCCAATCGCAGATGAGCCAATTGCAGATGAGCATAGCCTGTACATTATGTGGCTAACCATAGTAACATCCAACACATTGCTACAACACATATTATATGAGCTCACAACACTCAACCCACTTTTTAGAACCTTACAACACTCGAAAACACTAAATTGCTGCTGCTCCAGGTACCTGCATATAAAAGAGATAACAATATACAAATTTATGTTAGAACTCCTAAATATGGCTGGTGAAGTATAGGTGTGGTAATATATTGCCCTCACAAGACTCTCAACCCACAGGTATAGGATCTTCACATTGAACACTGCATGATCTCTTTTCATGAATTTGCAAAATGAGCAAACTAATGAGAGAAAACACTCAATATATGCTACCATCACTCAACCCACATTTACGGAACTCCCAACTCTCCTTCCAGGGGCTGCAGTTGTCATGATAGTATGGGGAAGCCTCCATGAGCTCAAGAACCAGCTGTCACTAGAATGCTTTGTCAGATTAGTAATAGACATCATTCGAAATCTAACCATATCCACGATGCATTTTATAACAACCTCTTCCGGAGTCAACTCCTTACTAAATATTCTATTGTTTCTAGCAAGCCACAAATGGTACATAGTGCAAGTAAAAGCAAACCTAGAAATAGTTGCTCTAAGAGTTTTACCACCAGCAGATCTTAACACATGATCTATAATCCCAAGCCAAGGATTATTAGGCCAATCCACATTGAGCCTACCTTTAATACACTCCCAAACTCTACAAGAGAAAGGGCACTCAAAAAACAAATGAGTATGGTTCTCAATAGAATCATGACAGAAAACACAATCAGTGGGATGGTCTGTACCAAACATCTGCAGTCTGTCCCCAGTGTTCAATCTACCTAAGATTGCCATCCAAGTCACAAAGCTAGCCTTCGGAATTTTATGAGGCCCCCATAATAACCTAGCCCAACCAATTTTAGGAGAGGATTTTCTCAGAAAATTCCAAGTTGAATTAATAGAGAATTTGCCATTAGGGGAAGGAGTCC